ATAATTTTTCTCCAAATAAAACTTCAAAATAAAAGAGAGCTTTTATAATAAATTTTAAACTAAAACTAGCTCAATAATAACAAGTGAACTATCGACCTAAATAAAGCAAAAATTTAAATACTATTTTCTGCAGATAATTTCGGTTCTGGACGTAATATTTATATAAAAATTACTATAACAAAATACTATAACATGCAACCTATCACTAGTCACCTATCACTAGTCACCTAGTAACCTATCACATGCAGAGCAAGTATTAAAAAAGGTTGTGCACCCCGAAATTTGTAGTTTCAAATAACTTTTTTTATTTTAGTCGAATTTTTTTAATTTAAAAATTCTCTTTTCGTAATAATATCAACAATTCAAATGCATGGAGTTGAGAGTATCTATGATCCATGTTCAAATGCTAATAAATAAAAAAAATTGTTTACATTATGCCAGTTTCGAAGGATTGTGTGAAAATATTTTTACGCTTATAGCTTACTAGGAAAGCATCTTTAAAAAAAGAGCAGAAATTAAAATAAATAATATAATTCTAGGTTGTTGTTGTTGTTGTTAATTTATGTCGCACTAGAGCTGCACAATGGGCTATTGGCGACGGTCTGGGAAACATCCCGGAGGATGATCCGAAGACATGCCATCACAATTTTGATCCTCTGCGGAAGGGATGGCACCCCCGCTTCGGTAGCCCGACGACCAGCGTGAAGTCGAGCACTTTACGGTAGCACAGTTTAACGAGGACCAATACCGCACACCCTCGGTCCCTACGCAGACTGATCCAAGTGGGTCACCCACCCGCACACTGACCGCAACCAGTGATGCTTGACTTCGGTGATCTGATGAGAACCGTGTCTTGACGATCAGTCCACTGCGGGATCATCTTTCTTTGTTAAAGAACGCATAATGTAATTTTTTTTAATTTTATTATTTTTATTTCACATTTCCTAAGAAAAAAAACTCAGCGTCTTCAGAAGATTTTGCAGGCTGCAGGTTTTCAACCCAATTATGATAAAAACATTGCTAGGAGTACAGAAAAGTCTCCTAATAGTCTCCTTTTCCTGAAAATAGTTGCTTTTTTTAGTCTTTTCAGACAAAAATTTTTTTTTTTAATTCAATTTCTGAATTTTTTTATAAATTACATATAGATTGTTTAAATCAATTATTATATAGTAAAAACCATTTTAATTTTTAACATGTTTTAATTACTAAGAGCTTGTTAAAATTATCAAATAATACAATCACTTGCAAACATAAATTTATTATTTTTTTTGCTTTCATTGCAATAGAAGAAAATTTATTTATCTGTACTAATCCAATACTTTCAAAATTATATTTTTTTGTGTGGAAAAAAAGTATTTCTGCCTTAATATTTAGGTACCTTTATTAACAATGACTATTTCCAAAATAATTAACACTTTAGAGGACTAAACTCTAGTCAATAAGTTATAAGATTTCCACATGCCTACTCAAAAAGCTCCGTGAAACATTTCATGAAAAGATGATTTGTTTGTAAAATATTATAGATTTATTTATACTTTTGATTGGTATTAAAAAATATGCTCCAGTCTCTTCAGCAGTTGAACTTTTTATTCAACTTTCTTGAAATATTAAAATACACAATATACTTACGGAATTATTCACGAGTGCTTTCACTCGCCCTATTAGTGAGGTGTGAATAAGACTTTCTGCTGTATTGTAATCCACACTGAGTAAGAAGTTCAATAATCCAGACAATCCATTTTGTTCTAAAAACCTCATCACAAAGCTGCAAATAAAATTATCTTTAAAACTAAATGATAATTTAGAAAAAAATTAATTTTTCTAAGCAATTTAATAAACATAAATCATTATCAGATTATATTAGCATTATTATCAGATTGTATTACCATTATTATGAAATTATAAAAGAATATTACAATAGTGAATATTGAAAGAAAAAAATTAAATTAATGAAAGTTTGAANCACTACAATACTTGTGCAAAAAGGATTTTAACTTTTACCTACAGTTGCATCCTTAATGCAGTTTTTAAGTTGTCTAAAAGTTTTGCACGGGATATTATTTCATCCTCTTCACGTGGAAACAATAACTGAAACATACCATAGTAAAATTTTTATTCTGTTAACTGAAGCATAGAAATAAATACTTAAAAAATTAACTATAATGTAAATTTTGTGAATAAAATAAAAACATTTGTTTCAAAACTTACTTCAAAAAGTGTAGGGTGATTCCAATAGAGATGTGTCAAGCATTTTTAAAAATGCTTTCTTAAACATGAATTTCAAGTGTAACTAAATCGATGATATGGTTGGTAATGTTTCTGATACAAGTACCAGAAGTTATCTAATTTAAAATTTTATATAAAAAAAACATGCTTTTTTTAAAAATTCTTTTTTTTAATAAAACCTGCAATAGGAGAAATATCAAATGAAATAGAGGTAAATGGAATGTACTTAATTAATGTAAACTAAGAAATATGAAAAAACAGTTAATGGAAGATAAACAAGATAAATTTCATTGCCTTGTTTATCTTCCGTTATTGTATAGTAAGGTATTTGTAAATAAACTTTTAAATGTTCAATTTTTGCATTGAAATTTCACTTTCGAATTTAACATAACTAGGAATAGTTCATGTTTAATAAGCTTTGTATTTCCTAAATAGGGTTGATGTTTGTTGTAAGTACATAACAGATTTTATTATAAACTGTTCAGCATGAAGACAGACTTTATACTTATAGTTTTCAATCAGATCACTAAAATCCAGACAAGTATTTTAACATTTACATACCCTGATAGAATGAGTAGTTCATGTTATGAAGAATAAAAATCATAAACTAAATTTAATATTCATTTTTACATAAACTAATAGCATATAAGGTTTGAGTGATGGGCATCATTCTCAAAAATTTTAGTCATGATTAAATTTATTTGGAGTGATCATTCTATAGCAATTAAAAAATAATTCAATGTACTAGCAGTAAACTCCTTATTCTTTCTTACAAATAGATCTGTAAGCTACAAATCAAAGAAATTATCTTTGATATGCCTTAAGTACAAATATTACAACAGGTGTAATATTTAAAAAAGTTGAAAAGTCGAACTGTCAAAAGTTAAATTCAAAATAATGGGTAATGCTTAACTAAACAGAAAATTCTATTTCGTTGCTTGCCTATCTTGCTTGAACAATTCATCACAAAATGCTATAACACTGACAATGATCGTCTCAGTGCTTTGAATTATTATGCCAAATTTCATCATATTTGGCACACAGACTTAGCCCAAAGATATTCATTTATGTAAATATAATAACAAATTTAAAATAACTTTTATGTATGGAAAAATTAGTACTTACATCTTATTTACTCCTTTAATTACAAAACTAAGGAACTAGTAAAACTATGAGCCTTTATTACTTACAGGGGCCTGTCTAGGGTTTTCTGAGAGGTACCTATTTTGTGAAAATTTAGATATCATTTGTGAAAAATTAAAAATTATGTTAAAAAATCAACACAAAAATATGGACTTATCGTTTCTTAAGGGATACGAAAGTAAAATTTTAAGAAAAAGTATTTTTTTTCCTAAAATTGAATTTGTGAAACTACCGTTTTTCCTAAAGTTGAATTTGTGAAGGTACCGCTAAACGGTAGTAAATTCGGCCTGGACAGACCCCTGACTTAGAATTTGAAGAAAAAAATTATAGAAAGAGTCTATCAAAATAAGTGAGCAGGAAAATATTTAGAGGAAAGCTGTTAATTGTTTCAGAAGATATAGTTTAAAGCAAAATGTCAATATTTTAATTTCAAGGTGAGCTTTTGCAGCTATCTTAAATTTACAGAGTGGTGCAAAACTTAAAACTTTGCTCTCTAGACGGGGAGGTGTTGTTCTAATTTGTACAGGTCAATAGAACTAAAAGTTTAAAACTTATTGCGATTTAATGGAAAAAAAATACAAATTTAGACTAATAAATATTTAAGCATCTGACACTGCTGTCTGGGCAAGCGAGGTAATGTTTCATAAGTTTCATTTTCATTTAATTTTCAGTTTTATATAAAATATTGATAATTAACATTGTTATGAGTTTTTAATTAAATTTACAGCATTAAGTTTTAATTAAATATTTCTTTAAATTAAACTCTTTGATGAGTTGTAATAAAAATACAGTGCAATGGACAATATTAAAAATTTAATTAGTTTTTTAAGATAAGTTTTTCTTCAATGTTTGTTTATAGAATTATGGAAGTCTAACGCCTTTTTTAGGGATGCACTTTTTAGGCCGTGTCATGTGATCCGTATATATTTATATCTCATGTTAGTATGTATTTATATCAGTATGTAGGATTTATGCAGTGTTTTCCTTAAAGGACTTTAGAAGCCCTGTCTACCCTTTGATTAATATCTCTTTAAAAAATTAAAAGTTAAAATGAAAGAAAAAATTTCTGAAAATAAAATACAGAAATGAAATATAAATATTTACTTATTGTTCTGAACAAATAATTCTTGTATCAATATAGTGATAATCAAATATTGTTCTCATTAAGTTTTAAGAACTACAAAAATACCGTTTGAAAAATAATTTTATCCATTAAGAAAAAAAGCTGAACAAATTCATAATAGCAGTCATGCTATGTCATATCTACTTACAAAATATATGACTGTAGAAGAAGCAAAATATTTGCATACCAGTAAAACAGTATCCTTCTTTTTAATTAGTAATTTATGAACATGGGTGCAATGTAATATATTTATTATATTCATACTTTTAGATTGTAAAAATAAATCAATGCTTTAAGCCTTTGGTGTGTTTTTAAATGTTTTATTCTAATTTAGCTAGTATCAATATGTTTCTCAAACATTCAAAGTCCTTCTTTTAACAGAAATAGTCAAAAGAGTTTGTAATTACTTTGGACAAAAAAACTTTTCCATCTACTTTCCAATGCTCATGAACCACAAATAAGATTATATTATAAAATCCTAAAACAATAATTCAACACTAATGGTTAAGAAAAGATAGTGAATCAAATGCAATTAACAATTTAAATTGTGGTAAAACCATGTTACTCACAATTCTGTTTGTAAATTATGATATAAATTAATAGTTATTTTTTAAAAAAAAAATAAAAGAAACAAAGTGTTTTTACCCCCCTCTTNATAATTCAACACTAATGGTTAAGAAAAGATAGTGAATCAAATGCAACTAACAATTTAAATTGTGGTAAAACCATGTTACTCACAATTCTGTTTATAAATTATGATATAAATTAATAGTTATTTTTTAAAAAAAATAAAAGAAACAAAGCGTTTTTACCCCAATCTTTATTTAAAAAAAAAAATCAGAGCTTTTGCTTGGTATATTTTCATGTTTATCCTATAAGAATTGGTAAAAATAAATGTAAATTTTGTACTAAGGAAATGATACCAACTTCATTCTAAGTAAAAGAAATGGATATAAAATAAGAGCAACAGAACTGAAACTCATAACTTAAACGACTGTATATAATACCTGTCGTAGGTACTAAAAGCTGAATATGTTAGTTAAACAAAATGGCAATACTGCTTTTTGTTAGCAAACATTATCCTTAAGAAACTCGTTTTACTTTATTAATAAGTTTAAAGATGCAAACACTTCATTCTCATAAACATATCTATCATCATAAACTATTTATTTCATAGTTTCAAAACAACTATCTTCATTCAAAAACAATAAAAGACTTACAAAATGTAAAGAAATTACAAACAACCTTCCTAAAATACAGAAGTTTGAATTATGTTTATAAATAAAATTTTTGGTAGGACAAAAAAATTTATAATTTTTTTTTTACATAATTCATTTAACAATTAGAGAGAAGTCAATTTAACTAGTTACTTTCATAGATAAATTGTTTTACAAAACCTTAAATTAAGTGATTTTAAAATTGATTGGAGGATTTAAAAATTATTACCCATTTAAAATAGAAATTCTGTTATTTGCAAATAACTCAAGAGCATCAATTTACATATTTTATTTTTCATTCCATAGCAATATGAGAAAAATTTAACGGCTTTTTGCCTTCCTGCGGAATAATTTAAGTGTAATACTGAAACCTTATATTTTAAATACATTGTATCAGATTAAACTTTTCCTAAAAACTCTCGATTGGTGTATTCTCCCTACAAGCCTGTTGATACAATTTCTTTAATCATTCTGCGGTATATCTCACCCTCTTAACCTTGAACAAAAGGCATTAAATATTTATTTAAAAAAATTAAACACACAACCACAAAAACAGCAATATTACAAAATGATAATTTACTTTTAAAAGAAATAAAAGAAACCAAAAACAAGAAAGAAACAAAAACCTCAAACACCAATCTAGGATTTTATTTGAAAGCCAGGCCTTAAGATAAATGCACATTTCTTTAAGGAACAATTTCAAATAAATTTAAAAACTTTCCAATAATCCTATTAGAAATGTAAGAATTAAAAATTCAATCACATAATCAATGCAATTCCACAACAATTAATTTTTTTTCTATGTTCAATTTCCAAACAGGAAAAAAGAAAGTTGCAAGTAAAAATGGCACAAGGGAATAAATTTCAGAACAAAACAAGTTTACTGAAAAATACCACCATTTCACTTCATTGTATTGGTGGCTTTTTCGAGCAAAGACTGAAAAAAATAGAAAGTGAAATAAAAGGGTTTATTTTAATTGCTAGCACCTGATCAGGCCTTAGATTATTCTGACATCAACAGTTTCTTCAAGTAAAAGTGGGACTGGCTCAACTCTTCCTTAATTATTCAGCTATAACATGCTTATTAATAAATAAAGAAGAACCCAAAATATTTACAGCAATTGTAACAATTAGAAAAGGAAAAATCTTAGTTTCAAAATAATAAGTATCCATCTAATTCAAGACTGAAAATTTTGACTGAAAAAATTAACATAGCAATGAAACCACAAACTAAAAGGATCAATTCATGAATAAAAATATGATTCACAAATTTTCTCATTTAAATGAATAATGATAAAATACGGTCATTATGCAAGCAATGCAATTTTAATCAATATTACTTTTTTGAATATAGAGCATCTTCTTCAGATATTTTCACAAACTCATTCTTAGGAGTTTCATATCTTTTTCTTCTGTTGCATCAGCTAAAACAAAATAAACGAATGTTTCAGCAAAACTAAGGCCTAATTAAACTTCAGCTGTATTATTAAACAACTTATTTAAAACAAAAGGTCCTTAGAATTAGATTACTAGGATAATAAAAGAACTAATAAAAATTTAATTCACAGTAATTAAAGATAATAGCATTAACAATAACTACACTAGTCAGTGAAAGTAATTTGAAGAGCACATTCATGAAGGCCTATTGAAAAGTGTCAAGCTATGGTTATATAAAAGAGAAAAATTATTTAAGAGGAAAACAGTAAATTTCAAACTAATTTCCTTTCAATAAATATTTTAGTTAAGATATATAAGATATATTTATTTCCCGTTGTGATATAAAGCATTATCATAATTAATGCGTAATGAATAAAAATGTAAAGGTAACATAAGATGTAAAAGTAACATTCTAATCTGGGAAATATTAACAAATGCAACAGGGTTTGATTTTTGAGGTCAAAAAGCATTATAAACTGTCAAAAACCTGTGGCAAGTTTCTTTTTTGTCATTGGGTAAATTTTATTGGATATTAAATCATGCACAATACTTTTATTATATACATGATGATTTACAACATAGGTTCCCAAAGTGGTCCAGGTGGACCCCCAGGGGTTCATAGGAGACCACACGGGGGTCCACGTAGACGTGGAAAGAAAACAGGGGATCACAAGTTGTAAGTGGGGGTCCCCGAAAAATTTTCTGGTTTTCATAATAAAGAACAAAAATTTTGGTTTGGATTTACCTATCAACGTAGGCAGGTAGGTAGCATCATTCACTAGGTAGGTACTCAAAAATATTCGAGACTCAGTTCAAACACAGAATTGAATAGAACAATAGATAATAGTGTACACCACATGTCGAGACTTGCAAAGTACCGTCCACTCGTCCGCGATGCTAGATCTGCAAAGGGATGAAATGCGACATGCGCTGTGCTTACATTAGTATAAATACGAATGCCAAGAACAAAGCGTTATTCATTTGTTTCCGGGACTTTGAACATAAAAGTGTGACTGTGAGTGAATCACTGTTAGTGTTTGCAGTGCCGGAAAAAGAAATATCTGCAAAAAAAGAAAATGTGCTACTTTTTTCTTCTTCTTCACACCCCCAATTTAGGGTGATATTTTTTAAGAGTTTTGGGAATACAGTAGAAATGTAGCAGCAGGGGGTCTACCGAAAATAGTAAAACTTTGAGAGTGGTCCACGAGAAAAAAAAGTTTGGGAACCTCTGATTTACAATATATATATATCAGTTATAAAAAAAAATAGCCGAAATTATTGAAATAATTGCTTTTTCTAAAAACATGGTACTCTTAATACTTTAAAATCAATATTAAATCAAAATAAAAACAACTAACTGTTCATTACATTATTTAACCATAACTGAAAATTTTTTTAAAAATTTTCTAAATAAATATTCAACATTTTTATAACTAAACATTTTTCAACATATGGTAAACATTTTTATAACTAAAAAAAACTACATGTTTGACTTAAATTACTTCAAAGTATCATGTAAAAATAATAGTTAAAGTGTACAGTGAAAATATTCGACATAGTTACATAGCTATTAGTAGCAGGCATGTGCTGTTTCTTTTAAAAACAAAACCACAAAGATATTTTTTCAAAAATTTAAAATTATAGTACGAAAATAAATTATGTTATTCGAAAGGGGGGAGTTAAATATTTGTGTTATAACCAAGAAATAAGTAGTATGTAGTAGTGATAACAAGCTATATTTGTTAGAAAAGGTGCTACGATACAAGATAAATTAGTATTAACATATGATGTATTATACCAACTAACAAACATGAATACTATGTTACACAATAATTAATTAGTAAAACAGTAATCAGATGTTAAATATAAAATACATATTCAAAACTAAAAATGCAATTATGATATTTTTAACATAACCCCAGGGGGCATTTTTGCCCACTCTAATAAACCGTGCACAGAAACTTAAATAGGAAAAATTCTTTGAATTGTTTGATTTGCACAGAAATACAGTATTACTTACAATAGATTTGCTTCATTTTATGCTAGTAGCAGATGAAGGATGATGAAGACACTATTTTGGTTCTAATAAAGAAATAAGATAGTTATAACTCTTCTTTTTATTATTTCTACTTATTTAATAAAGTATTTCAGTGCATCTGCTTCATTTTAGATTTTCAAATTCATGACTTTCCATGATTAATTCCAAGAATTTTTCATGACTTAACGAAGTTACTATTTTCTCCGACAAAAACACAACAATAAATTAAAAAAAGTATTATAATAACATTCATTGAAATGATAGGTATAACCAAAACTGTTACACTCTGCATCTTAATATTTATAGATTTTAAAATTAAAAAACAGAGTAAAGAAAGAGTTGAAGCAATAAATTAACTGAAAAAAATCCAAAAGCAAATATTTTTTTTTCTGCAGATACTTTTCTTGTTCATTGGAAAGGAAAGAAATACTCCTGATTTTTCTGCTCTCGTTTCGGAATAAAAAAATTTGCTTGGCTTGCTTTAGCTAGAATTTTAAATTGATAAAATAAAGAATAATAACAAAAATTCTGCAATCAGAAGTTTAAAAGATAATTCCCTCTAGAAAAGTTTTTTTCCTTCATTTCCTGAAAGAACACCATAATTTTTAAAGAACACGGATAAAAACATTTTATATTTTAATCAAATATGTGAGCGGGGATTTTGTTACAAATTCAGACATTCGGAACACCATGAAATTCGGGGGAGGAGGTAAATTCCATTTCAAAAATTAGATTTTTTGGTAACTTAAATTACACACGATAGCAACTTAATACATTTAAGATAAGAAATTAAAAAGCATTTTCCACTGACATTGGTCGTGAGCAAGAGATGATGTTTGTTAAGAATCAAAAATTTTGTGATCAATAGCATGATGGTGGCAATTTGGTCAGCATTGTGCATGCATTCACCTCCTAGACAATCTGGAACCCTTCAATTTTAAGCTGGGTGGGCTTCAAGGTGCCAACAGAAATATGCATCAAAATTATTAAATGGAAACTGTAATACTTAGTATTTTTATTCCTAAATGATTAAAACAGGGTTGCTACAGAAAAAAATGAACAAAATAGTTGCTTTTAGTAGCCTAAAGCATGAAAATAGTTGCCTAAATAAGAACAAAAATTCAGCAAAAGTAAGACCAAAATTTTATTATATGACTTAATTGTCATATACCATGATACATTTAGTCAAGTTGGTGGCAGATACGATAATTTTTATGTCAACGTTAGTGTTCTAGCACAAAATTTTATATAAAAAAATTTGTATATTTGCAGAAAATTAAATATTTTTAATTACTAGAATTCATTCAAAAAATACTTTTTCATTAAAAAAAACACACACACACTTTTTCTAAGAAATTTTCCCTTTCATCAATAATTGATTTAGCAAATATATATATGTACATATATATTGTGAAAAGTGATACTCAAATTCAAAATTCATGCATTGTATTAAAAATAGGGATTTTTAAAATCATGCAGAATTTCTTAGCAATTACCGTTCAAAAGGCGATCGAGAAATGAAATAGACTTAGAATCTATGCAAATTGAACTCATTAAAAAGTTATGACTCAAATTTACAATCTAAAACTTTTTATTTTTTAAAGTTTTAATTATTTATTTAATTTTTTTAAATTTTTAATATTTTTATTTTGCATTTCCTAAGAAAAGAAATTCAGTGTCTTCAGAAGATTTTGCGGGCTGCAGGTCTTCAACCCAATTATGCTAAAAAACATTGCTAGGAGTACAGAAAAGTATCCTAATAGTCTCCTTTTCCTAAAAATAGTTGCTTTTTTAATCTTTTCAGGCAAAAAAAAGTTGCCATAGTCGCCTCATGCTGAAAATAGTTGCATTTTAGTCGCCTGTGGCAACTCTGTTATAGGGATGAATTAAAACGCTAAGAAAAGAAGTATCAGAAAAAAATTAGAACTAGAATCCATAACTAAACCTATTTCCTAAAATATTGAATTAAACAAATTTGTATAATATTTCAATGTATAATAAGTAACTGTAATTTTATAGAAAGCANAAATATATATATATATATATTGTGAAAAGTGAGTACTCAAATTCAAAATTCATGCATCGTATTAAACATTGGGATCTTTCATATCATGCAGAATTTCTTAGCAATAACCGTTCAACAGGCAATCGAGAAATGAAATAGACTTAGAATCTATGCAAATTGAACGCATTAAAAAGTGATGACTCAAATTTGCAATCCAAAACTTTTTATTTTTTAATGTTTTAATTATTTATTTAATTTTTTTTAATTTTATTATTTTTATTTTACATTTCCTAAGAAAAGAAATTCAGTGTCTTCAAAAGATTTTGCGGGCTGCAGGTTTTCAACCCAATTATGCTCAAAAACATTGCTAGGAGTACAGAAAAGTCTCCTAATAGTCTCCTTTTCCTGAAAATAGTTGCTTTTTTTAGTCTTTTCAGGCAAAAAATGTTTCCATAGTCGCCTCATGCTGAAAATAGTTGCATTTTAGTCGCCTGTAGCAACCCTGTCAAAATTAAAAAAAAAAATTTTTTTAATTCAATTTCTGAATTTTTCTATAAATTACATATAGATTCAATTATTATATATTAAAAACCATTTTAATTTTTAACATGTTTTAATTACTAAGAGCTTATTAAAATTATCAAGTAATACAATCACTTGCAAACATAAAAGTTTTTTTTTNTAATACAATCACTTGCAAACATAAATTTTTTTTTGCTTTCATTGCAATAGAAGAAAATTTATTTATCTGTACTAATCCAATACTTTCAAAATTATATATTTTTTGTGGAAAAAAAGTATTTCTGCCTTAATATTTATGTATCTTTATTAACAATGACTATTTCCAAAATAATTAACACCTTAGAGGACTAAACTCTAGTCAATAAGTTAAAAGATTTTTCTACACGCCCACTCAAAAAGCTCCGTAAAACATTTCATGAAAAGATGATTTGTTTGTAAAATATTATAGATTTATTTATACTTTTGATTGGTATTAAAAAATATGCTAGAGTCTCTTTAGCAGTTGAACTTTTTATTCAACTTTCTTGAAATGTTAAAATACACAATATACTTACGGAATTATTCATGAGTGCTTTCACTCGCCCTATTAGTGAGGTGTGAATAAGACTTTCTGCTGTATTGTAATCCATACTGAGTAAGAAGTTCAATAATCCAGACAATCCATTTTGTTCTAAAAACCTCATCACAAAGCTGCAAATAAAATTATCTTTAAAACTAAATGATAATTTAGAAAAAAATTAGTTTTTCTAAGCAATTTAATAAACATAAATCATTATCAGATTATATTAGCATTATTATCAGATTGTATTACCTATATTATGAGATTATAAAAGAATATTACAATAGTGAATATATTGAAAGAAAAAAAGTAATGAAAGTTTGAACAATTAAACGGTTGTTGATAACAGTATTATCTAATGACCCTTCATAATTTATATTTTTGGAATTGTTGATAAATGCTATAAAAAAATCTGATGAATAACAGTTGATGAAGGCAGGATAAAAAAAAAAAAACAAGTAGTTTCATTGTTTGATAAAATTTGAAAAGTTCTTTTTCAAATTCCATTCTTCTTATAAATTCTCTGTTAACTCAACAAGTTACGTCTTTAATCTTGCNTAAAAAAAAAATACAAGTAGTTTCATTGTTTGATGAAATTTGAAAAGTTCTTTTTCAAATTCCATTCTTCTTATAAATTCTCTGTTAACTCAACAAGTTACGTCTTTAATCTTGCATTCTTTGTTAATAATTTGTCAGGTTTTAATTACAATCTTCTTTTCTCCTAACCAGGGTTGGCAAGTTTTTGACACATGATGGTTTTTATCGGTTTATACCATGGTTTTTACCGTCATGTCAAAAACTGTCAAAAACCCATAGTTTTGGTAAAACTGTATTTTTATTTGAGTTTAACTGCTTATAATTTAAATTAATTCATTTTTGGGTAATAAAATTAGAAAAAAAAGTTGTTAAAAGATATTTAAGAACAGATTCTTGCATTTTCCCAACATGATTATATCAAAACATACTGTTTGAAGTAAAATATTAGGATACTAAACAAAATTTCAAACATTTCCAAGCATCATTTTGTTTGGCATATTACATTACTGAAGAATGTCAAGTCATTCTTCACTTAGAGTTTGTTACCAGTTTTGAAAGTTTTGTTTAGCTTATTTCTAATATTTAAGAAATGCCAAATTAGCAAAGCAAAATTCTTTTTAATTCTTGAATTTATTAATAGTTCCAAGCTTTTTCGTTTGTTTATTTCTAACGATTAAGAAGTGCAAAATTTTGAATCCTTTGCAAATCAAGCTATAAAGATAAAAGTAAAGTATCATTATTTTCAATAAGTATATTACAATATTTCTATATGAATGTATATCCTTCTATAAGAATACATGTATATAATGGCAAAATCAATAATAATCATTTACAACATTCATTTATAAAGGCAATTATGTCAAAATAATATATTGTCCGCTATATGCCATAAATTAAAGAAAACAGTAGGTTTTTGACGGTTTTTACCACTGTCATGGCAAATAACAGTTTTTGATGGCAAATAACAGTTTTTGATGGCAAAAACCCAACCCTGCTCCTAACTAAATACTATTACTTTCCAACCACAAAAGCCTAACCCATCTCAATCTCTATTTTCAATTAATTTCTTATAAGAATTCTATATGTACAAATTTATTAAGGATGGTGGTTGCAAAACAACTTGTTTCATATTATATACATGGACTTTGCCTTACTTACCTTAATTTATCTCAAGTAATCATAATTTTCAGAATTCACACACATTCTGGCTAATCAAGCTTTTACTATGTATTTATTGTATTCACAAAAAACATTTTCATTTGGGAACAAATTATAAATCGTAAGAATAAAAAATTTAATGAAATGAATTTAAATCCACGTTGGAGCAATTTAAGAATGCGCTACAACCCATAAATTTTCAAAATTAGAACAGAATTACTAAAGAGGTCAAACACCCTTTTGGGATTTATTGTAGATGCTCTAGTTAATCATTAAAATACTTATTATATTTTGCTAATGGTATTATATTATATATTATACCATTACATATCACTACAATACTTGTGCAAAAAGGATTTTAACTTTTACCTACAGTTGCATCCTTAATGCAGTTTTTAAGTTGTCTAAAAGTTTTGCACGGGATATTATTTCATCCTCTTCACGTGGAAACAATAACTGAAACATACAATAGTAAAATTTTTATTCTGTTAACTGAAGAATAGGGATAAATATTTCAAAAATTAACTACAATGTTAATTTTGTGAATAAAACAAAAACATTTATTTCAAAACTTACTTCCAATAGTGTAGGGTGATTCCAATAGAGATGTGCCAAGTGTTTTTAAAAATACTGTCTTAAACATGAATTTCAAGTGCAACTAAATAGATGATATGGTTGGTAATGTTTCTGATACAAGTACCAGATGTTATCTAATTTAAAATTTCATAAAAATAAAAAATAAAATGCTTTTTTTAAAAATTCTTTTTTTTAATAAAACCTGCAATAGGAGAAACACCAAATGAAATAGAGGTAAATGGAATGTACTTCATTCATGTAAACTAAGAAATATGAAAATGAAGAAATATGAACAGTTAATGGAAGATAAACAAGATCAATTTCATTGCCTTGTTTATCTTCCATTATTGTATAGTAAGGTATTTGTAAATAAACTTTTAAATGTTCAATTTTTGCATTGAAATTTTACTTTTCAAATTTAACATAACAAGGAATAGTTCATGTTTAATAAGCTTTGTATTTCCTAAATAGGGTTGATGTTTGTTGCAAGTACATAACAGATTTTATTGTAAACTGTTCAGCATGAAGACAGATTTTATACTTATAGTTTTCAATCAAATCACTAAAATCCAGACAAGTATTTTAACATTTACATACCCCGATGGAATGAGTAGTTCATGTTATGAAGAATAAAAATCATAAACTAAATTTAATATTCACTTTTATATAAACTAATAGCATATAAGGTTTGAGTGATGGGCATCATTCTCAAAAATTTTAGTCATGATTAAATTTATTCTGAATGATAATTCTATAGCAATTAAAAAATAATTCAATGTACTAGCAGTAAACTCCTTATTCTTTCTTACAAATAGATCTGTAAGCTACAAATCAAGGAAATTATCTTTGATATGCCTTGAGTACAAATATTACAACAGATGTCATATTTAAAATAGTTGAAAAATCGAACTGTCAAAAGTTAAATTCAAAATAATGGGTAATGCTTAACTAGTCAGAAAATTCCATTTCGTTGTTTGCCTATCCTGCTTGAACAATTCATCACAAAATGCTATAACACTGACAATGATCGTCTCAGTGCTTTGAATTATTATGCCAAATTTCAACGTATTTGGCACACAGACTTAGCCCAAAGACATTCATTTATATAAATATAATAACAAATTTAAAATAACTTTTATGTTTGGAAAAATGAGTACTTACATCTTATTTACTCCTTTAATCACAAAACTAAGGAACTAGTAAAACTATGAGCCTTTATTACTTAGAATTTGAAGAAAAAAATTATAGAAAGAGTCTATCAAAATTAGTGAGCAGGAAAATATTTAGAGGAAAGCTGTTAATTGTTTCAGAAGTTATAGTTTAAAGCAAAATGTCGATATTTTAATTTCAAAGTGAGCTTTTGCAGCTATCTTAAATTTACAGAGTGGTGCAAAACTTAAAACTTTGCTCTCTAGACGGGGAGGTGTTGTTCTAATTTGTACAGGTCAATAGAACTAAAAGTTTAAAACTTAATGAGATTTATGAAGAAAAAAAAATACAAATTTAGACTAATAAATATTTAAGCATCTGACACTGCTGTCTGGGCAAATGAGGTAATGTTTCATAAATTTCATTTAATTTTCAGTTTTATGTGAAATATTGATTATTAACATTGTTATGAATTTTTAATTAAATTTACAGCATTAAGTTTTAATTAAATATTTCTTTAAATTAAACTCTTTGGTGAGTTGTAATAAAAATACAGTGCAATGGACAATATTAAAAATTTAATTAGTTTTTTAAGATAAGTTTTTCTTCAATGTTTGTTTATAGAATTATGGAAGTCTAACGCCTTTTTTAGGGATGCACTTTTTAGGCGGTGTCATGTGATCCGTATATATTTATATCTCATGTTAGTATGTATTTATATCAGTATGTAGGATTTATGCAGTGTTTTCCTTAAACGACTTTAGAAGCCCTGTCTACCCTTTGATCTCTATAAATGCACCCTCTTTACCTGTTCTGTAAAAATAGCCACCATCCCTTAAAAGCACTGCCTATTTATTCATATTCCATTTTAAAGAAAAATAAATGACAATTACACAATGGTAAAATTTGTATAAGTATCTCTTTTTCCGAAAGGGGAATATTAATGACTTTTTTTACGCGATTTTAAAGTTATTTTTCAATTAAATACACTTTATTTTAAAAAAATGCACCATTAAATGCTTATTTTCTAATAATTTTCTGTTCGAGTTATAGAAAAAAGCTTTCAAGCTGTTTTTTAAGAAACAGTTTTTTTTTTTTTTTTTTACAACTAAATATAGATTGGAGTTAGATTGCATAGTATTCATATGCAGAGAAATTTTTGTATGATAAATTTTCTAAAATAAATTACTTAAAATCTGAAAAATATTTTACATTTTAAAAATATATTTCTAAGATGAGAAACCAATAATATTGGTAATTATGAATCAAACTGCGAACTTCAGGATGATTAAACCATAGCCACTTTCAAATAAAAACTAAAATACAATGATTTCAATAATTTATGAAGGAATTTTTCTTCTTAGTTAAGAACTAATTAACTTCTGACCATGTAAGTAAAACTTAATTGTACCTTAAATATAAATAATTTTTAAACACCCAAAAGAACATGATCATAGAATTTTCAATAAAATTCAGAAATACCCAGGTATTTATTACCCGGGTAAATATCCAGGGTATTATATAATATAATATCTAAATGTAATATAATATCTAAATGTAGGAAAATACAACTTATAAGTAACTAATTTTGAATAGAAATTTTACAGTACACAGATCTGGCCTGAAATTACTTAATTATTTAAGCTAGTTAAAAAATATTCATTTTATGCATATTAAATATTTATGTTACAATACAAATTTGATAACATTAGTTTACAATACAAATGGTGAAATACAAATTTTACAGCATCATATCTGCTGTAGCGTATTTAACAGATATGACTTAATATTCTATTAAATTAAACTAGTTGATAAATATGCATTTTACAGTGCTGACACCACATGTTAAAAATTCATATTGTAAGTACATGATCAATTGACATGATTTATCAATTTAAAGTTTGGTTTTAGTAGTTATTATAAATTTTGAAACACACAAGAAAGAGAATTATTGGCTTAGGTTATTTTTTAATTACCATTAGATCAGCTGATAGCTTCTTATTTTTAACGACCAATGTCCATCAATTCTTTTATGTTTGCAATCTTCAGCTTATAAAAAATTTCAAGGATGTCTAACATTTTCATCTTCTAGATAAGAAAGAAAAAATATTTTAAATTAAGTGCACGAATAAGCATAGTTATCAACATGAAAAAAAAAAACAAAAAACAATCTGAGGATTTTACTAAAATGTAAATTTCACACCAACTCTCAAACCATATAGATATTTTTTCATGAGTTTCAAACTTTGATAATTAAGTTCAATTTAAAACCAATTTATAGAATGTACCAATTTAACTAGGGAATAATTTTTTAAAATTTAAACTAATTCCTTCCTTCCTCAATGGCACGACAGCCCCGGGTGGGCCTCGGCCTTCTCAATCAACTTCCTACAGGCCTGCCTCCGCCTGGCAGTTGGTCTTCCAGTTTGAGACTTTTAAGACTGAAAAGTCTCTTTCCACGCAGTCGACCCATCTCATTTCTCGCATAGCTTCAATGAGTTGCTTCCAGTTTACACTGTCGTAAGCAGTTTCGAAATCCACAAATAGGTGGTGGGTACCAATTCCAAATTCCCTGGTCTTTTCCAGAATCTGTCTTATGTAAAATATTTGGTCAGTTGTAGAACTGCCCTTCAACTAATTATCTAACTTAAACTAATTATCTTGAGAAAAAAAAATTTTAGTGATAAAATTAAAAACTTTGTATAATTCGGGTGTCTTAAAAGACAAGCAAATATTTGTAAATAACGCTCTTTTTTATGATGGGTGCCCTTTCTTTAGGGGCTCTATCCAGTTTCTGATGCCCTGCCCTTTTTAAGGTCTAGCATGAGCACCACAGACTTTGTATCTTAATAAAAAAGTTACAAAACAATGAAATGAAGATAATATTCCAATTAAAAATAGCAATTGGAATTCTGAGAAGTAATGTTTAAAAACATTAGAATATTTCAGATAAACAAAGCTAAGTATTACACAATACACAGAAATTTACCAAGAAAATAAATAAACTGGTTTCTTGATTGTTAAGCACTGCTTTAGACTAGGAAATGAATTATTTCAGTTTTGTCAACTCTTACTAATGAGTAAATTTCTTGTTTACTTCGTTACAGAACTATATAAGATATATTTACTACACCAAATAGGTTTACGCCATTTACAATATCCTACACAATTCAATAATTTTTCTCCAAATAAAACTTCAAAATAAAAGAGAGCTTTCATAATAAGTTTCAAACTAAAACTAGCTCAATAATAACAAGTGAACTATCGACCTAAATAAAGCAAAAATTGAAATACTATTTTCTGGAGATAATTTCAGTTCTGAACGTAATATTTATATAAAAATTACTATAACAAAATACTATAACATGCAACCTATCACTAGTCAACATGCAGAGCAAGTATTAAAAAAGGTTGTGCACCACGAAATTTGTAGTTTCAAAGAACTTTTTTTTATTTTAGTCGAATTTTTTCAATTTAAAAATTCTCTTTTCGTAATTATATCAACAATTCAAATGTATGGAGTTTAGAGTATCTGTAAGATCCAATGAGGAAGCTATGCTAATAACCAATATTGGTTCAAAATATTGGTAATGTAGTACCAATATTTTGAAACTAGAGACCATGGAGTCTAGAGTATCTTATGGAGACCCAGCTTAATGTAAAATTTCCCCCACAATGTGATTCGTCAGACTTTAATGGATAATGGATGCAAAATTGCCGCTAGGTGGCATCTCAATCAGTAGACGTTGGAATTTTTCACTTGTTATTAATACACGTGCATGTTATTACTGCACGTGTTAATTATAAATTTATTGTTTAATCGCTAATATTAATATTGTTTTTTAGCAGCTTCCTAGTATCAGCTTGTTTAAAGCTCTAAATGTAAGTTTTTAATTATGATTTCGTTTGTTTGACTATTTTGCTATTAAACTTTTACTTATTTTATGCTTTCAATAACATCGTAAGGATATTCTCTTCTAGAATGGTTTTTTAAACATCAATGTAAATAAATTTTGTTTT